CCAGAGCCTGCCTCTAGCTCTTGGGTCATGTGTTGGTGTGCACATATGTGGTCTGTCACGCCAGACTCGGGATGAGGCCCCTCCAGCTCTGTTTGGCCTTGGAGTTCTTCCAGGCCAGGGACAGGATGGACAAAGTCCTCACTGTACCCGACTTGGTGATCATCTCCCTACGGTGGTCTGCCCCAAGCAACATGCTCCAAGGGGGGGTCCCGTTCAGGGGCAGGGCCCTGTTGCTGGAACTGGTGTCTGATGCGTCAGACCTTGGTTGGGGAGCTCAAGTGGGGAACGTTCAGGCCCAAGGTCTGTGGTCGGCTCAGGATCTGACCCTACACGTAAATGTGAAGGAGCTCAGGGCGGTACGGCTGGCATGCGTGGCCTTCCACTCGCACCTGGAGGGCAGAGTGGTCAGGATCCTCACGGTCAACACGGCCTTGATGTTCTATATCAGCAGGTAAGGCAGGGCCCAGTCCTCTGCCTCAAAGCCATCAGGTTGTGGGATTTCTGTACAGCCCACAACATCTGCCTGCAGGCCTTCCATCTACCGGGTGCCTGGAACACACGGGCGGATCACTTGAGCAGGGACTTCTCCTCTCAGCATGAGTGGTCTGTCCACCCGGAAGTGACTCACAGGCTTTTCCAAGTGTGGGGAACTCCCCAGGTGGACCTGTTTGCGCCTCGACAGAACCAGCGCTGTCCCCGGGTCTGTTCCAGTGGGGGACTGGGATGGGGCGCTATCTCTGATGCCTTCCTCCTGTCCTGGTCAATATGCCTTCTCTATGCCTTTCCCACTGATCAGCAAGGTCCTGAAAAAAATAAAGATGGACAAGGCCTGGGTCCTTCTGAGTACCCTGGCATGGCCCAGGCAACATTGGTACGGGACCCTCACGGACTTGGCGGTTGCTTGGCCGTTGCTGTTCCACCCGGACCTGCTCTCCCAGGACCGGGGCTGCCGCCTCCACCCCAACCTAGTGGCTCTCCCCCTCACAGCGTGGCTTCTCAATGGTTAGGTAGGGAGGAAAGGACGTGCTCAGAAGGGGTTCTATGCATCCTCCTAGAAAGCAGCTGGCCCTCCATGTGCCACGCCTGCTTGGCAAAGTGGTCCCAGTTCTCCAGATGGGCAAATGAGGGGGTGTTTCCCCAGTGGCTGTCCCGATCCAGCTTATCCTGGACTACCTTCTCCACCTTAGAGCCCAGGGCCTGGCGCTCTCCTCAGTCAAGGTGCACCTGGTGGCCATATCCGCCTTTCGTCCTCCGGTGTAGGGTCACACGGTATTCTCCCATGCTATGACTGGCCGGTTCCTCAAGGGGTTGGACCGTCTCTTCCCATATGCTCGGCCTCCCGGTCCCGCAGTGGGATCTAAACCTGGTGTTGTCCTGTCTCACGTGGCCCCTGGTTGAGCCACTGGTCCCACCTCTCTTGGAAGGTGGCCTGGTTGCAATCACATCAGCCAGGTGGGTCTCGGAGCTCAGGTCCCTGACCTCCGAGCCCCCATACATGGTTTTCCATAAGGGCAAGATCCAGCTCCACCTGCACCCTGTGTTTCTCCCGAAGGGGTCTCCACCTATCACATGGGTCAGGACATTTTTCTACCGGTCCTCTGCCCCAAGCTCCACGCATCCAGTGAGGAGCACCATCTCCACACGCTTGATGTGCGATGGGCTCTGGTTTTCTACCTTGAGCGGACCAGGCCATTCAGAAAGTCTTCGCAACTGTTCGTCGCCTTGGCTGAGCACATGAGGGGTCGGTCGGTCTTCACTCAGCAGTTCTCCAACTGGGTCACTTCGTTCATCTGTATCTGGTATGATCTGGTGGCTGTCCCCCTGCCACCGATTGTGACAGCGCACTCGACTCCAGCACAAGCCTCTTTGGCTGCCTTCTTGGCCCACGTCCCCATCCAGAACATTTGTAGGGTTGCCATGTGGTCTTTGGTTCACATATTCACCTTGCACTATGCGATCATCTTCCAAACTGGGGTGACACCGGATTCGGCAGGGCTGTACTCCGTCCCGAGAATTTGTGAACTCCTATCCACCTCCAACAGATATAGCTTGGACTCACCTACTGTGGAATACACATGAGTAATCACTCGAAGAAGAAAAGACAGTTACCTTTTTCGTGACTGGTGTTCTTCAAGATGTGTTGCTCATGTCCATTCCACATCCCGCCCTCCTTCCCCTCTGTCGGAGTTGTCTGGCAAGAAGGAACTGAGGGTGGTGGGAGTGCACAGCTCCCCTTATACCGTGCCATGAAGGTGCCACTCCAGTGGTTGCTGGGGCACCCCTACCCCCCCACGGGTACTGCTAGGGGAAAAACTTCCGGCACCGGTGCACATGGCGAGCATGCACACCTATTGTGAAATAGACATGAGCAACACATCTCGAAGAACAGCAGTTACGGAAAAGGTAACTGTCTTTTAGCTACTTAATTTTTGGGGGGGGGAGTTGGTTAAAATATTGATTAAAAGAGTAACAACTATAAAGCCTATTGTTTTGGGGTATGAGCCAAACTGTTTGAGAGAGATTAGGAAGAAACTTCCTTTACAGGCAGGTTATTCCAAATTGTCCACTGATAGATTTTTGTACCTTCCTCTGAAGTGTCTGGAAGTGGCCACTGACAGACGCAGGTTACTAGATTAGCTGTAGCACTCGTCTGGTCCATTATGACAATTCCTATGAAATCTGAGATGAAAAGACCTGTTTGGTCACATCTGATTCACTGTCTCATCTCCTCCTAGTTCAAGATTGTTACTTACAGCTTACTCTTAATTGTTTTTTGTCCAGTGCAGTTTTAAATGACTGAAGTAATGGGGCTTCCACTACTTTCCTTGGGAGACTGTTCCGCACACTAATAGATCTCATTGATTGGAAACTTTTCCTGCTCGTCATCCATTAGTCTGGGTATTCACACACTTCAGATATCTGTAGACAGTGATCAGATCACCACCTTATTGTTTAATCAAGGTGTAACTATTTAGCTCTTAATATAATGTAAATGCTACAAATAAAAGCCATCTGAAAAAGAGGTGCAAAAGGGATGAGAGGTTCTACAACTGAAACTGTCTCTGCATTGTTACAAAATAGCCATTCCTTTCTATGTAATCCATTTTGTAACAAAAATGATCCTTCCCTATGAATATCCCAAAGAATATAAAAACACATGCACAGCTGTGCGCACACCCTCCAGCCCCATGTTAAAAGAACAATAAGGTTGCAAAGTCAAGCACTCAACCTTAAGTCTGGCATTTCCTAACTTTTATCTCTGTGCCTTAACTCTGGCATTTCCCATTTTGTAAGGTGTAGACAACCATAATTCTGACGTGGCCTAACTTCTGAGTGCTTGATTTTGCAACCTTATTAAAAGGTTCTTTTAAGTTTGTGTGTGTGATTTCCTAGGTTTTTTGAAAACGCAAAATGAAGAAACAAATTCCATCATGTAGCATTATATTGACACCTACATGGTTGGAACCTTGGATTGGAACCTTTAGATCCACTGCACAGAACTGTGCTGCTTGTGATTACAGTGATGAATAGCTGTAGTGGACTGTCATTTTATATGTGGATGAGGACTAGAGGAGGATGAGATACTTTGCCAGTTGATTTCACAGATATTTGGTGACAGCAGAGGAAAGTTTGGAGTCAGGAATCTTGAGTTCCATTACATGCTCTGCAGAGGAGTGTGTTCTAGTGGGCATAGACTCTTCTGCCAATTCCCTCCAAACTTGATTCTCTCTGCCCTGCCCCTTCTAACTTGTCCCTGTCTCATTCCTGTCTCTTTCCCCACCCCAGGTCCTCATCCAAGTCTCATTCTCTTCACCTAACCAGTCTGAGCCTAATCTGAACTTCCAGTCCTCAGGCTTCTCATTCTAGTCCCAACCTCTTTGTCCAGCAAGTCCTAATCTCACCTCTCTGGAATCCCTGTCCCAGCTCCAGTCACCCCATTCCCAGTTTCAGTCTTCTTCCCCATCCAGTCCCAATCTCTGCTCCCTGCCTCACCAATCCCATTCTCCTTCTCCTCCCTGGCTGCCTGACCCAATCTACTCCCTCCCCTCCCAGGTCTGGCTCTTTTCTGATCGGCATTCAAATCAGGCAGCTCCCTTCACCGCCTTGTTTGGGCCCAGTGGCGGGTGGGGTGGAGGCATTGGGAGCATAGGAAAGACAGACTCCTGGTCCAGGTCCTTGCATGTAGCAGGCCAGAGTTGCAATTGCAGGGCAAGTCCTGCTCAGCACCAGGGTGGAGAATGCTCAGTGTGGATGGAATAGTCAGGGAATTAAACTGTAGACCTCTAACAAGTCTCTACTGAGCATATGTAAATTCTGATTTTTTTTTCTCTCCAGAGGATTATAACTTGGCCAATTATGGGTGGATTTTCAAAGGGACAGTCAAAGGCACATTCTTGACTCAAATGGCACCCCTTTGCCAAATGTCAAGTCCCTGCTCCAAAGCGTCGGGGCCCTAGAAACTTCTCAAAGAAAAGGTTGCCAGAATTTTTTTAACATGGGCAAAACAACATACTTTTCGCTAGCCTTGGTCTTGGAAATGACCGTACGATTTTGGCTGAAATTTTCAAAAAAACAGTCAGTTTGAGGCAGAAACACAGCATGGAAACTTTCAGTTGAACAGTTAGTTTGGCAAAGTTATAAGCTACTGAAAACAGCGTCTTTACGATGGGAAGTGTCACACAACCTTCCTAATAGGCAGTGCTACCAGCCTGGGCTATAATATAGATCTGGCTTTGTTAACTCTTGCTTGAAGCTTTCATCCTGCACTAGAATAGGAAATAAGATGCACTGCTTTGTTCAACATAAATGTCGTAACAGTTATGCTGGTTTAATCTTTAATAATATATTTTTAAATCCATGTAGAAAGAATCTCAAGTGTCAAAAAAACAAACAAACTTGCTAGAGAGGGGAAAATTTTGTAACCTAAGGAATGTATTCTCTGCTGACACTACATAACCCAGGTGCAATTACTAATGAGCTGTATCTCATGTATCCAACAGGAGTTTGCCCTCACAAAAACAGAAGAAAACGACTTAAAAGAAGAGAATAACAAAGAGTCAGTAGCAGAGGATGATCTTGATCCTGAAGACTTAGAAGTGTTTTACCCAACATATCAGTGGCAAACAGTCCGTCCAGGTAACACATTGATGGTGAATTATTGTGTCCTTCTGAAACTACATCTGACACCACTGACAGAAACATCATAGAAACTAAAAATAACCATCAAATCCAACTGCATTTTTTGGTGGTTAAACAAAGAGGTGTCTGGTGTGGGAAGAATAGCTTTCTGCTTCAGTGAAAAGAAACAAGACTACCACAATCTGGTGGTGTGTGGTCATTGTCAGTCTCAAGAATTTCTGCTCGTGTACTTCCAGGACTTTAGAACTAACTGAGCTTTCTGTCAGTCAAATGGCAGATGATATGCCTCCATTACTAGCTCAGAAGCACTTACTTTTTCTCTATACCTATCAAAAGACAGATTTTATATGTTTATTGGCACATGCTGTTCTGGTCTGCTGTGGTCTCATGTGGGTTGATTAAATATCGTTCGATGGCAGACTTGCTGTTAAGAGTAGTAAGTGTAATATTGTGCAGTTTTTAAAAGAGGAAAAGCTTTCTAATCCTTAGCTGTTTCAAGTCTAGTTTGTTCCTTTAAATCTAAAAGTTACATATTTCTCGAAAGTGTGCTTATTAATTCTGGCTTAATGTACCTAACTTTAATATCCAACTTTTAAAAGATTACCCCGATATTTAGTTTGGCTCTTCTAAGTTGCTGGCATTGTCCCAGAATGTAAGATTCTTGGCCATTGCACAGAGGCAACAGTAGAATCAGCGGCTGCCCAAAGACTTATGGGACATAGCTAGCAAACCTGTAATAGCCAGTGAACTCCTACAGAGAATAAAATTTTTTTTAAAAATATAAATGATTCTCTTTTTGTGCTGGATGCCCTTCACAGCCTGGCTATAATGTCTGTGACTGTGGCTAGAATCTGTGTTTCTGCCCCACAGTTCACCTTTTGAAAGTATATCATATTTCAGAGTTTTTAAATGCTTTATGATCAAGAAAATGAAAGGTGGACTTCCTCATGTAAAGATTCTCATGCTTATTATTTCAGGAATCTAATCTCCCCTTGTTTCATATGCTGTTAATGATGGCTATGCATATCCACCAAGTGGAGACTAGGCTCCTTAGAGTAGGGATGGCCAAAATATGCAACACTGAGGGCTTCATTGTCAGCTTCCCAAAAGCCTGAGAGTCCCACCAGTTTGTATATATGTGTATTTGCAAGTATGCAGCATAAATGCCTGCAGGCATAATATTTGATTTGTGCTCCTGTATTCCATGATAGAACAGGTGGCTGCTTGAGTTTACAAGCATTAACACAAGAAATAGGGGTCACCAAATAAGAGTAATAGGCAGCAGGTTTAAAACAAACAAAAGGAAGTATTTTTTCCACACAATGCGCAGTCAACCTGTGGAACTCCTTGCCAGAGGATGTTGTGAAGGCCAAATCTATAACGGGGTTCAAAAAAGAACTAGATAAGTTTGTGGAGGATAGATCAATCAATGGCTATTAGCCAGGATGGGCATGAATAGTGTCCTTAGCCTCTGTTTGCCAGAAGCTGGGAATGGGTGACAGGAGATGGATCACTTGATGATACCTGTTCTGTTCATTCCCTCTGGGGCACCTGGCATTAGCCACTGTTGGAAGACAGGACAATCGGCTAGACGGACCTTTGGTCTGACCGAGTATGGCCGTTCTTATGTTCTTAATAGAAAATTGCTGTTGATCAGCTTCATCCTCGTCATGCTGTTACAAGGGAAAGAAGGTGTCTGTTAGGTCATGTTTGCCAGCTGGACAGTACTTAGAGATCCCCACTATAGTATGATGGGTACCGCTGCATAAAATTTTCACGTTTTAGTATGCGGTGAGGAATCCAGTTCTGAAATCTATTCTTCATTCCTCTCACAAGTGCAGAACAGTCCAAAGTAAGAGCAACTACTTTCCATGATCTCCCTAAGATAGATCTCACTGCATTGGGTCATGAAAAGGACCAACGCAACACAGTATAAGTGTTTTTGTACTCGTTGTTATAGGCACATCATGTTTTCAAATGACTGCAAGAAAAAGGTGAGCACTGGAGCAGACTTCAGAGAGAAACCATCCAAAAGGAAACTTACTCCAAATTCCTTTTGCAGTTCTTGGAGATATTTTTATGTGAACTTTTCTCCCTCCCAGGTCAGTGACTCCTCTGCTTGATTCGGCAGTGGAGTTATAACCTGATGTTTGCCACTTGGTATGGATTGACTGAGATGACATACCCCCAGAATTTTGACTTCATGACAAGATCTCATACTATAGGCCCAGAAGGTGTGTTTTTGAAGGGGACTGGCCCTCATTTAACACACACACACATTTTGGATGTTCGTGGAAATAGGAAGCCTCCCACTGTGGTCTTCGATTTATTTAGCCTCTCCCTGCCTCGGTTTCCCCACATGTACATTGGGAAAATGCTTTCCCACCTCACAAGGGTTTAGTAAGTATTAATTCATTTTATAGGGTTTTTTAATTTTAAGAGCTGCATCGGTACTCAATATTATTGTCAAAAGAATAGTTATGGGATCCATGTGTCTTTCAGATGCTCTTGAGGTTTCAGCCTGCTATAGCTGAACAATTTTCCCATATGTAAATCTTTCTATAACATAAATGTCTTCAAAAAGCCCTTAAACTTCACAAAGCTGCGGTATATATTTATATTCCGTTTTTGCACCATTATGTATGGAAGTCTTGTTGTGTCCCTATTCAGTATTCAAACTGGCAGATCACCACCTTTTGTTGAAGTAAAATATGTATATATTTGCAGTTGTTATAAATGTCATTGCTGTTTTTGTTTAGAAGTGACTTCTCCATTGCTTGGGCATTTTGTTGTGCTTTATTTTTTAGCAGCTTCAAATTATGCAAACACAGTAAAGAGTTTAATAAAGTGGGGAGCTCATCAGCATTCACTGCATGTCTTAAGGAAGGAGTTTCCGGATACAGTTGTAAATGGCTTAAGCAGTGATTGCTCTTTGAGTTTTGTCCGTGTAGAGCCTCACTTTGCAGATGAATGTGTGCCTTTGGTGTTGAACCTTGTAAAAAGCATTAGGGTTATTGTGACTTCCCCAGCCTGAAAAGATCCATTAATATCCACCCCCAAACACCTCCTCTATCCCTAACATTTTTCTGAAATGAAACACTTAATATGCACTGTATGACCACTTTTAGCATATTTATTCCTCAAACTTAAAAAATACATACTTTGTCTAAAATGAAAAGTTTGCACTTCTGCAAGTAAAACGGAACACATAGTCAAGTTGTCAGTCTGACTAGCCACACTGCTCTTTTGTGTCAGCCCTTAGATTCTGATTCCATTTTACCAATTTATTTGCTTTTCCAGCACCTTCCCTACTATTGAGTTTTAATGTTGTTAAAAGAAAAGGAGTACTTGTGGCACCTTAGAGACTAACCAATTTATTTGAGCATGAGCTTTCGTGAGCTACAGCTCACTTCATCGGATGCATCCGATGAAGTGAGCTGTAGCTCACGAAAGCTCATGCTCAAATAAATTGGTTAGTCTCTAAGGTGCCACAAGTACTCCTTTTCTTTTTGCGAATACAGACTAACACGGCTGTTACTCTGAATGTTGTTAAAGACCTGCTCAATTGATGCTAAGATGGCTATACAGGAATGCAGTCTTTTAAGAATGGTCAGAGTTCTGCATTGTGCTGTCCTGTTTTCTGTGAATTTACTTCCAGTCTTCCATCATTTTGATTAAATAAACTGTGACACAACGTCCTTGACAAACAAACACTTTGATTAGAAATCTGGATCTTCAGTTTTAAATACTAGGGGAGAAAGGGATTTGGGATTGTTTCATCAGCCATATTAGCATTTCATTGTCTTCTGTGCTGATCTCAGCCTGTGACTCTAGTACTCGGGGTCAGTCATGTTGACTAAATAATTGAAAGATACCAATGTTTCTCTGAATTGTTTTTCAATTTTGTCCTTGTGTAATTCCAGTTCATTGTTGCTAATTAGATCAAAGTGGATTTCTGCTGAGACTGTGTGGCAGTGTCATCAGGCTATAATCTGTTAAATCCCTCAAAATCTTTCTGCAGTTGCTTTTGTAAATTTAGTACCTCTCTGTAGAGTCAGTCCCTTGTTTGATCAAAATACAGCACACATTTTATACAAGTCCTTCTTGTGCTGAGTGCAAACTTCAGTGTGCTTCGGGTAGCTGAATGTAAATGTAGAGACGGTTATCCTGAGAGTTCTGTTCCATCAAGTGTCATTGGGAAGCTGGAACATCAATCTTCCATTTCTGTCAACAAATTATGAAGCTGGTAATGGCTGCAGAAAAGTTTTTGAAATCCCAGTAAAATAGGTTAGCACTCTGCTAGTCATTGCTTCTTCCTCAATTAAGTTTAGTGTGCTGGACACTCTTAAATTAGAAGTTTAAGAGATGTGCATGTGAGACCTCTGATCTTTTCACTTCTATTTTTGTTTTCTGAGCAAATGGTGACAATATCCTTGCCATGCTTCTGTCTGCGTTCTTGGATGCTGTCTTCAGTAACCTGGCCACCAAATTCTGTGACTTAATAAGTAGGTACACATATTTCCCTGTATGGATGCTTATTGTCTTTATTTATTCATTTCTCAGATTCAACTAACATTATTCTATTAACATCAATGTTAATTCTTTCAGGTCTTCCTTTCATTTTTCCTTTCTGTATTCACTTTCAACATCTACTAATGGATCTGTGAGTTTAAAGCTGTCATGAGGAGTATATCTGAGGTGAAGAGCTTCAATCATTTCTTTAAATGGATCACTTTATGCTACTTTGAAGATGATGAGGTTAGCATAAAAGAAGGCTGTAACTTTCATCGTGTGCAAGTCTTTACCTTTCATTGTGTTAATGGCATAATCACAGATCGATTTTTTTTTTTACGTTTTTGGAGTATCAGAGACAGAGGCTACTGCTGAATGAAGCTGATACTGAAGAGCTGGTTAGAAGGCCTGAAACAATGATTATGTTATTGTGGTTGTGTTTTTATGACATTGATGGCATAGAAATGGTCTCACTTGCAAGATCA